TCCCATTGTCACCCCTGGGTGTCCTATTGTCACCCCTGGGTGTCCCATTGCCATCCCTGGATGTCCCATTCCCATTCCTGGATGTCCCATTCCCACCCCTGAGTGTCCCATCGTCACCCCTGAGTGTCCCATTCGCACCCCTGGATGTCCCATTGTCACCCTTCAGTGTCCCACTGCCATCCCTGGATGTCCCATTGCCATCGCTGGGTGTCCCATTGTCACCCCTGGATGTCCCATTCCCACCCCTGGGTGTCCCACTGCCATCCCTCAGTGTCCCATTGCCACCCCTGGGTGTCCCACTGTCACCCCTCAGTGTCCCATTCCCACCCCTGAGTGTCCCATTCCCATCCCTGGATGTCCCATTCCCACCCCTGGGTGTCCCATTCCCATCCCTGTGTGTCCCATTGTCATCCCTGGATGTCCCATTGCCACCCCTGAGTGTCCCATTGTCACCCCTCAGTGTCTCATTGTCACCCCTCAGTGTCCCATTGTCACCCCTGGATGTCCCATTCCCACCCTGAGTGTCCCACTGCCATCCCTCAGTGTCCCATTGCCACCCCTGGATGTCCCATTGTCACCCCTCAGTGTCCCATTCCCACACCTGAGTGTCCCATTGTCACCCCTGAGTGTCCCATCGTCACCCCTGAGTGTCCCATTGTCACCCCTGAGTGTCCCATTGTCACCCCTGGATGTCCCATTGTCACCCCTGGATGTCCCCTCCCATTCCCACCCAACCAATGTCACCCTGGGGTTCTGCTGCCTGCTTAGAGGAGCTTTGTGGGCTGCATCACAACAAATTAATAACAATAACAATAATAAAACCCAAAAATAAACCCCTCCCACCCCTTTCTAGAAGTGGATGTAAATAATACAAATCTTCCTTTCTCTCCTCCTGCTCGATGAGACACATAGGTATACACAAACATATATATATTTATATAGGAAAAAGAGGATTTTGGGCTGATGCTGTTTTATCTGTGACTGATTTATCTTTAAAAAGGCAGTTTTGGGGTGGGGGAAGCATCATCCAGGTTTTTCTGGGACTGAGCTGTTTCTATCTGTGCATTTCTCCACTGACCCACCCCTACCCGAGTGCTTTTAATTCCCTTAATGAAAATATCATCAGCCAATTAAGCAGCTGGCTGACTAAACCCCTCCTGTTTACCCAAAGTTCACCTAACTCTGCCAGTTGGAAAAAAAAAAAAAATTAAAATATCCATATTGAGCTGCAGCACTGTTATAAAATAAACGCAAAGTTTGGAAAGTAAATACGGAGTTTCTCTTGCTCTTTGTTTTTTAATGTCACAGCACAACAGGGCTCTGTTCACAGGGCATTTTGCAATGAAAAAAATACTCAGAATTGGCTAAAATTGGAGCTTTTTGCTTGAAAATGAGCCCTGATGTGAGTTTTAGGTCAGGCTGTGCCCATCCCGTGGGCTCCCAGCGGGGCTGCCAGTCCCAGGCAGCTTCCCCAAGCTATTTGCACAATTCAATTATTTATTTGCTCTGATTTTAAAAGGAAAAAGCCTGCCCTGGTTCTCAGCTCAGCTACCTGGGGAACCTTACATCAATAAATAAGGAAAGAACCTGGCACAGTCGGGGGAAAAAATCCCAATAACGCCACCAAAATAAGAAAGATTTGCTGACTTTAAAATGTGGGATTTGAACAAAAAGAGGAAAGGGAAAAGGGGAAGCTGGGCTGGAATCACATCCTTGCATCTCACCTTGTCTCAGCTTTAGGACAATGCACAGTGAAAAGCAGGCAGTGGAAAAAAGCAACCCTTATGGAAATAAAATATTCCTTATGGAACTATTCCTTATGGAACTATTCCTTGTGGAACTATTCCTTGTGGAAATATTCCTTATGGAAATATTCCTTATGGAAATATTCCTTATGGAACTATTCCTTATGGAACTATTCCTTATGGAACTATTCCTTATGGAAAAGCAGCAGTCCTGACTTGTGAGGGGCTGGCCAAACCCCAAATCCCCAGTGGCACAAGCACTTCCAAACATCCCCAAAATCCAAAAATCAAATTTTTCTCTCCACCTCAGCAGCCTCACCCCCCCCTTGCCAATACCTGCACCAGCTCAGAACCCAACATCCCTTCTGGAATTTCACAGGAAAGCCCAAATCCATCCTGGTCACCCTGAAGGGCAAAGCCCACCACAGGAACCATAAATCCATGTGTTTTATCCCACCCTGCATCCCTCATTTGCTGGTGCTCCTTGTCCTGACCGTGTTCTCCAGGCAGGGATGGGGATGGAGCTGGACCAGGTTTCCCAGCAGGAGGACCTGCCTCCCTCTGCTGCTGGAAAAGGACACTACAAAGCCAAAAAAGGCCTCCAGGAGATGCTGCTACACCCACAGGAGGTTCAGCTCTGCTCTTCTCCCCCTGGCACTGCTTGCAGGATTCACCTTCCCCTGGATGCAGGATTTAGGCACGGGATTGATGAAGATGAGGGCAAGCACAAAAACCAGAAAAAGCATCTCCAGCCAGGCCCTCAGTATTTTTAAAACTAGGTTTTATTTTTACCAAACATAATTTATTTTTTTTTCCCAGAACACGGCAGCAGGACCAGCCCAGCCCTGCTCAGGCAGCAGATATCCTTCCCAGGAAGGATAAATCCTGCCCACAGGAATATTTGGAGGAAAGCTGCAGGATGGGCAGTGCTGGGGGGTCCCTGGGGTGTCCCTGTCCCTCCATCCAGCCCCTCCAAGCACCGAGCTCACGGGCACTCCCCGCAGTCCGAGATGATCACCTTCTGCTTCGGCTTCCCATCTTTGGTGCCCTGAGCCTTGGGGAAAAGAGAGCAGCAGGAATTGCAGGCACTAATCCTCAGGGGAGGAAAGGGAGAGGGCTCTGCCCCCAGCACCCCCCTGCCCTCACCTACCTCGATCTCCCGCACCACATCCATGCCCTCCGTCACCTCCCCGAACACCACGTGCTTCCCGTCCAGCCAGTCTGTCTTGTCACAGGTGATGAAGAACTGGGAGCCGTTGGTGTTTGGGCCAGAGTTTGCCATGGACACCATCCCTGGGATCAGGGACAGCAGAATTATGGATGAGCACAGGAGCAGCCCAGCCCCATTCCCATGTCCCACAAAAAGCTGCCAGGCTCAGGGGAGCTGCTGGATATCAAAATCCACAGAAACTACTGGAAATCAATTATGCTTGCAAGTGTGAAAGACGCTCAGCTATTTTTATTTTCCTTAACAACAAAGCTGTTTGTATGGAGATAAACCTGCTTGCTTGCTCCTGCCTCTCACAGTCATGCTGTGACATTCCTTGGTTACAATCAAGCAGGAAAAGCAGCTTTGAAATTGTTTTTCCTTTATGGAATACTGTAAATGAAGTAGATGGAGAGGGAATGATGCACTTCTGCTTGGTGAGATGAGGGTCTGAACGTGACAGAAGAATCTGGTCAATGTAGATTATAATAATTATAATTATAATTATAATTCAGGGCTGATGGTATCAACACAGCCCGAATGTGATCCCTAGATGATGCTGAGCCATTTTCTCTCCTGGAGATGGCTTTACCTGGCCCTGTGTGCTTGAGGATGAAGTTTTCATCATCAAACTTCTTTCCATAGATGGATTTGCCGCCGGTGCCGTTGTGGTTGGTGAAGTCTCCGGCCTGGCACATGAACTGGGGGATGACGCGGTGGAAGCTGCTGCCTTTGAAGCCAAATCCTTTCTCGTGGGTGCAGAGGCAGCGGAAATTTTCTGTGTAGGGGGGGAAAGTGGGGGTGAGAGCTGTGCCACCCTGGGAGGCAGCAGCAGGAGGAGGAGGAGGAGGAAGAGGAGGAGGAAGAGGAGGTGCTCCTCACCCGCGGTCATGGGCACCACGTCGGAGCGCAGCAGGATCCGCAGCCGTCCCGCGGGTTTGTTCCCGATCTTGATGTCCATGTAAACCTGGGGGTTGACCCGGGATTTCTTGGCAGGAGGCTCGTCCTGGGCAGGAAAAGAATGAAAAGCAAGTTGAGGTGACGTTTCTCTGCTCTGCCTCCAGCTCTGCATTCTCATCCTTTGGGATGCGGATGGCTCTGGGTGGTTTTCCTACCTCCTGTGCCTCTGCTTTGGGGGCCTCTGCTCCTCCCTCCTCCTTGTTCTCCTCCAAAGTCTTCCCTGAAAACTTCTTCAGCCACTCATCATCTGACCAGACTGTGGCCACAAGAGGAAAGGTCAGAGCACAGGAATTGACCCTGTGCTTACGAGCTGTGTCCCTTCATGAGCACGGAGCTCCGAGCAGCCCCAGCCACGTCCTGCTCCCCAGCTCACCAGGCCTGGATGATCCTTCTTTAATCCTCATGGGTTTGGCCAGGTTCACACGGATTGTCCTGCCAAAGAGCTCGGACTCGTTCTGCAGAGGGGGAGAAAAGCACAAAACAGCCCACCTAAAGGTATAAAACCAGCGTGCCCCCCAAAGCCCTGCAGAGCTCAGAGGACAGAGCTCGTGCTCTCCCTGCAGCCCACCCAGGGCAGCAAAGCCACACATGGAACAGGGAGCAGGAGTGGGAGCAGGGTCCATACCATGTTGTCAATGGCTGCTGCTGCATCCTGCCCAAAAAAATCCAAATAAAATCATTATTAACATTCATTCTCAAGGCCCAGCATAGCCAGGTCCCAGCAGCTCTTTATAAAAAGACAACTGCCAGGTTTTCCCAAACCTCATCTCTCCCAGGGATGTATGAACTGATGGGTTTTGTAAAAGCCATATCCAAACCCGTCCATGTGGGTCTCAACTTCCAACAACCCACTCACCCCTCGTAGTTAAGATGCTTTATTGCTGCCATGAGCATTTGGGAGAGGAGAGATTTGTGCATGAAGCCCAGGACAGATGTAAGAGGACAAATATAGAAACTGAGAAACCCGGCCAGGGGAGCAGTCTGGGCTGGAAACAGGAAAAGTGGGAACTTCAGCCCATGAGAAAATGGGAAAAATGGGAACCTGGAAGAGCAGCACAAC